TGACAGATAGGCTTCTTGAAGAACGCGATGTATATGAAATGGAAATGCAGGCGCTCAAGACTTCACGAATGACATTAAAAGGGAAATTTGATGAAATTCGACGATTTTGTGAAGAATTAGAAAAAGAGTGCAAACGAAAGGAATTAATTATAGAGAGCTTCCGAGAAAATCACCAGGAACACGAAGACGCCTTAGACCTATCAGATTTCTTGAAAGACAGGTAAAGGAATCAAATGCTGAAGTTGCATCATTACACGAACAAAGCGGAAGTTACGACCACCTAACGACCTTGTCACTCCGTGATGAACTAGCTCTGGGAGACAGGAATGTATGCAACAGTAAATTATGCAGCACTAAATCGCAAGACCCAAGATTTTCCAAATTAACCAACCTGATAAGAAAGAAATCGAAAATTCTTAAGAAACTAAAATCAGAAAAATTAAATTTACACAAGGACAAGGTGAAGATGGCCGAACAAGTGAAAGAGCTAGAGTTAGATCTTCAATCGCGAACTAAAGACCTACTTTCTACGCAGAAACAACTAGAAGAACTTTCAGCTGCAACTAATGAGCTTTTAAAGCTGGGTACTGAGTATAGAGAACTTACTCAAGTCCTTCTTCACGATGAGCTTAGTGAAACAAATGGTCCAGTAGAAATAAATCAGACTCCGTCCCCACCACCCACATCATCAACGCAACCAACACGTGCATAGTATGCCAGCGTTGCTGCAGGAAAACGTGTCTGCTCCACTACAACTGTTGAAGTTCGACACAGTCAACGGTCAACCAAGACTATTAGAACTCCGACCAGGCCATCCAGAAGAACGGTAGTTTTTTCTGATAAAATAGGCGTAGGACTAGGCCACCACCTTAGTAACCACTTAAAACAAAGGGTAGTCAACTATTGCTATCCAGGAGCTACTTTTAGTCAAATTATTACACTGTTAAGTGATTGCAACTTTGATAAATATACAACAGTGATTCTTATAATAGGTGATAGTACTAACATTAGTAAAAAAGAAGTAAATAGTAGCATTGACGTGTTCTTGAGAATTCATGAGAAGTGTGGGTGTAAATTCATACTAAGTGCATTCCCTTACTGCTGTAACCTAGGCATCGCTCGTAATAAGTATATTATATAACATAAATTCACACATTCATAATTTGACTTGCCGTCATAGTGACGTTATATTATGTTTTGACATTAATAAGTTCGTAAGGAACATCAAACTTTTTGAGGATAATTTACTTTTACCCCTAAGGTATCTAAGACATATAGCTAGTTTGCTATCTTTTAATATTAAGGACGCTGTTATAGAAGATATAACACAGTCCCACGACAATGGTCCTACTTTAAGTAGCAACAGTATACTTTTTACTAACCATAATTTAAATTGAAAAACACGACAACAGAAAAGTCTAATCGTTTCCATGTAATACATCAAAATATTCAAGGCTTTTCTGGCAAAAAATTAGAAATAAGTCTTTTTTTGCACTATATTTCCGTTGACGTGTTTTGTGTTACAGAACACTGGCTGAAAGATTACGAAGCCATTAACAATATAGAAAATTATGTAATAGTCAGTTCGTTCATAAGAAAGAGCTTAAGTAGAGGCGGATCCATGATTATTATTAAGCGTAACTTAAAATTTAAAGAGCATAAGGATATCACAAATCTTTCTACTGAACGAACTATTGAGATTTTATGTGTGGAATTGGATCAGTTTGTCGTCTTATGTGTATACAGGCCACCCTCTGCTAATTTTAACGAGTTTGAATTAATTATGGAAGACAGTTTAAAGCGGATTTTTCCAACCAAAAAAAACGTAGTAATATGTGGAGATTTCAATGTAAACCTGTTGGAAAACTGTTCTACTTCAGTAAGACTCATTAATTTATTTCAAAGTTTTAACTTGATTAATCTTTTTTTAAAACCAACTCACATTTCTGCCTCCTCTTCTACTTGTATTGATAACATCTTTTGTAACACAGACGCAGTGTCTAAATCAATAATAAATTGCTTAAGATCCGACCATAGTGGCCAATTGGCTTCTTTTAATTGTAAAATGAGCAAGAAGGTAGACCAATTTCTCTGCAGACCGATTACCACAGAACGAATAATTAGATTTCAAAACAATATCGGCAATAGTTAAAATTCCCTATCCCATATACCGGAGAATCCAAATACTTTATATAACACGATGTTTGGTTTAATTAAAAATGAATTTGACAATATATTTAAATCGAAAACATTAACTTTCCATAGAGAGACTAAATTCAACGACTGGGCAACAGTAGGTATTCATAAGGGTAGGTCTCGTTTGTAAGAGCTATATGCTATGAAAACTTATAATACTAATTCCAATTTCATAGAATATGTTAGAATTTATTCGAAAATATTTAAAAAAGTTTGTGTAGCTGCTAAGGTTAAGTTTCACAGCGCCAAAATTAGACAATCGATAAATAAATCTAAAACTACTTGGAGCATAATAAATAAAGAGTCAGGCAGGGTTAAACTACACGATAGAGATATAGTTTTAGAATTAGACAGCAAACTTATAAAATCTAAAGATAAAGTAGCCCAAGCTTTTGAATCGTTCTATTCGGAAATTGCTGTGAACACTACAAAATCATTAAATTCCTCCCCTTCACTTGCTATTGATCTCCTAAAGGAAAATGTTAACGTTTGTGGCAGTTTATTTAATTTTCGTCATGTTAATCCACAAGACATCATAAAAGCTTTTAAGTCAATACATGTTAAAAAAACTGAAGATCTCTGGGGCATATCAACTAAAGTTGTAGACTCAGTTATTAATCTAATTTCCCCACAGTTAGCTGTAGGTTTCAATAGGTGCGTTGACGAAGGTGTTTTTCCCGATTTAATGAAATACAGCAAGGTTATTCCCTTATTCAAAAGCGGTAGGAAAGTTGATCCTACCAACTATAGGCCCATTTCAATTTTACCAGCTTTAAGTAAAATATTCGAAAAGGTTATGCTAACTCAATTACTGTCCTATTTCGGTAGGAATCATATTTTTCATAGTGAACAATACGGGTTTACTAGTGGTAGATCGACTAGCGATGCGGGGGTAGCGTTACTAAAACACATCTATGATGCTTGGGAAAGGTCCCAGAACGCTATTGGTGTTTTCTGTGACCTCTCAAAGGCATTTGATTGCGTTGATCATAATACTCTTATTAGGAAGCTGGAACATTACGGTGTAAATGGCAAGGCGTCGAAACTTGTCTCGTCATATCTCAACGGTAGAATTCAGAAAGTAGACATAAATGGAGTGACTTCTTTGGGTTCTCCAGTAAAAATGGGTGTTCCGCAGGGCTCAATACTTGGACCTTTCTTATTTCTGATTTATATTAATGATCTGCCATTCTTTGTTAAGGACCATTGCGAAATAGTGTTGTTTGCTGATGACACATCCTTGATTTTTAAAACAGACAGACATGACATTAACTATGACCGTATTAATGATACCCTCTCTAAGGTAGTTTATTGGTTTAATGCTAACAATTTATTGCTTAATGCCAAGAAGACAAAATGTGTTAAATTTGAATTACCTAACGTAAAATCGACTAGTCCAAGCATAGAAATAAACGGAGAAAAGTTAGACTTTGTTAATAAAGCAGTCTTCTTGGGAGTGACCTTAGATAGTAAACTTCAGTGGTTTCCACATATATAGTCACTGGCCAGAAAATTAAGCTCCGCTGCATACGCAGTCCGCAGAATACGTGAGCTTATCGATGTTAGTACTGCTAGACTAGTTTACTTTAGTTACTTTCATAGTATAATGTCCTACGGGATTCTCATGTGGGGTAAAGCGGCAGATATTCAAACCATATTTGTATTACAAAAACGAGCGATTCGTTCTGTGTACCGTCTAGGCTCTCGGGTATCTCTCAGAGAAAAGTATAAGGAGACTGGTATCATGACTGTGGCATCACAGTACATTTACTCAAATATTTTATATGCCAGTAAAAATATACATAATTTCAATAAGAAAGAAGATATCCATAATATTAACCTGAGAGCTAAGTCCAAACTCATGGTACCACGATTTCGTTTAACCAAGGTAAACAACTCTTTTATGGGGAACTGTATACGTTTTTACCATAAGATTCCGGAGCATATATTAAGTTTATCATTTCTAAGTTTAAAAACTACATTAAAAATATTTTGATCGAAAAATCATATTACAAAATTGAAGACTACGTGTTAGATAAAGATGTATGGAAAGACGACATAGCTCCAGAATCCACACAAATTTGATTCAAAGTATATTCCATAGCATTTAAGTTTATTTGAAAAGAGCAATCCCTAGAGTTTCTTGCTCGTTCTTCTCAGGGAGGTCAGCGTAGTGAACGAGCAGTAGCTTAAGTGTGACGTTTTCAAGCGTAAATTTATTTTACCTATGGAATAAATAATCTTTGACTTTGACTTTGACTTCGCTCCGAAGTGTTCTAGCTTACCGTGGCAGACACTATACGACTAAGCCACGAAACGAACCAACGGCCTTCACGAATTTTTCTATGTGCTTGCGTCGTGTCTTTGTATTTGGTTTTTCAACGACTTTTTAGTCGTAGCGCCATATATGAAAAATCTATGAAAGATTTATCACCCAGTTAGAACCTTTACAGCTATCAGTCCTGGCGAGAGATGTCGCTATTCACTGTTATCTTTCATAGATTTCTCATAGATGGCGCTACGACTAAAAAAGTTGTTGAAAAACCAAATACAAAGACACGACACAAGCACATAGAAAAATTAGTGAGGTCCGCTGCTTCGTTCCGTGGCTTAGTTGGTATAGCGTCTGGCACGGTAAGCCAGAAGACGTCGGTTCGAATCCGGCCGGATCGAAGGAATTTTTTTTCTGAGTGTTCGATCTTTGTATTAATAATAATATTATCAGATAATTATTATCAGATATATTATCTGAGTTGGTTTGAATGGAATAATATGTGTAAGAAATAAAAAAATAGTCATCATACCTCTTTTAAGAGAATGATGCCGATGAACTCTCCTAGTAGATCGTCTCTTGACATCGTGCCTCGGCGCAATAGATTCACCCTCAAGAACGTTGGCTTCCACATCGCCCTCCTCCAATAAGGTTTCAATGGCCTCAGTTTCCGCCTCTCCATTACTTGATGTTACCAGTTTATAGTAAAATGCTTAAACAGTTAAATCCTTAGCGAAATCTGTAAAATACTTAGATATTTTTAGTAACAGATTACAGAGATGTACTTACTTTTCGCTTTCATAAGTTCCTCGTGAGTACCTTCTTCTACTATAGCTCCTTGGTCCATGCAAATGATGCGTTTACAGTTTACAATAGTTGATAATCTGCAATAAAATAACTCTATAACAATTCTAGTAATTTACCGCCCTTAGACGTTGCAAATCGCTGCTGACCTGTGCGATACTGTAATGGTAGTCCTTCCCTGACTGGCTCTATCAAGAGCAGCTTGCACTGCTCGCTCAGACTGAGGGTCGAGTGCTGACGTGGCTTCATCCAACAGGAGCACGGCAGGTTCTCGTAGCAATGATCTAGCTATTGCAATTCTTTGTTTTTGACCACCTGAGAGTGACGCTCCACGTTCTCCGATTACGGTGTCATAACCCTAATAAGTCAAACGGACTGTTAGTTTCATAGCAATATTGTTGCACTATGGTTTTATTGAAAAAAGTTATATATTATGACGAACCCAATTCTAAACTACGGATACGCTTGTATATCTTACGTTAGGTAATCTTATGATGAAGTCGTGAGCATAAGCTATGTCGGCGACTCTTTGCACCTCTTCCCTGGTGGCTTCGGGACATCCAATGGCGATATTGTCATGTATGGTGCCTCGAAATAGTACCGGTTCCTGTCCCACGACACCTGGAAAAGTATACATTTCAGTCAGTCAGATATAATAATAATATTTTTAATAAAAATAGTACATTAGGTAACAAAGGAGCTCCTTGGGAAACAGTTCATCTGTATAGCACTGTCACCTTACCTATTTCTGCCACCAAGCAGTAATGTCAGCATTACTCTATTTCGGTTTTGAAGGGTAACGTGCTGGTGAAATTACAGGCACATGAGACTTGTCAACTTATGTGTCAGGATGACGCATGACGGGCGCAGTAGCAGTGCCCCCCTAGGCGTATAGCTTACCGTGAGGCGCACGATTTATTCGCCCAGTCACTTAAGATTATAAATATATATATTTATTAACCTTAAAACTGCGAGTTTGCGAGTGGGCGATAAGTTTAAGATTTAGGCGAAACAGGGAATCTTTCTATTTGTGCCTTTCGTTTGCAATGAGTTCATCCCAATAATTTCCAAATAATTTTTTTTAAATAATAATAATACTATTGGTTCTTATTTCATCGAAAAATAAGAAATAAAGAGAGGCAGCACGTGAGTCATCCTTTTCTGCCCGTCACGCTTTCAATAATAAATTTTATTAATAATAATATTTAATAAATAAGTAAATTAAATAAATTTTAGCAGGTTTATTAACATTGTCTTATCATATCCCTGAGACTGTATCAATTGACGATGTGGTTACTTACAACAATAACCTCGTCGCCAACTGATTTTGTTAGATTTATATATATAAATCTAACAATAAATATATATATAATTATATATAATTGTTTATATAATTATTCATGCTTACCTAAACTTGACCTGAGCCAACTTAAATTGAGATTTTTCAAGTCCTTGCCATCGAGTTTGACTGACCCCGAGATAGGGTCGTACAGTCTTTGTAGAAGTTGTAAAATTGTGGACTTGCCACATCCAGATGAACCCACTAAAGCAACGCACTCACCCGGCTTTATATGAAGGGTGAATCCTTTTAGAACCTGTGGAAAACAGAATTTGTATAATTTTTGACCTCTTGAAAAAAGGAAAATGTTCTCTTTATTTGTTAATATTATAGTAATTTTCATGTGATGGAATATAGTATTTAATTGATTCTGTACGGTTGTTGTTTAGTTCGGTAAAGTTTAAAGTAAAGGTTACCTGAACATCAGGTCGAGAAGGATAGCTAAAATTGACATCTTCCAACGTAATTTCGCCTACGACCCTTCGTGGAGCAGTGCCGCCTTTCTTAAAGGTGTCGATTGCAGGATCACGATCCATTAGCTTGAAGACACTAGCGGCGGCGCCTCTGGCTGAAGCAAAGCCCTCGACATGAGGCACGCTTAACGTGATCGACTGGGTTGCCATGTACACACTAAAGAGGACCTGAAAATAGTGTACGCATAAAGCAGTCTTTTCGTGTAAAATAAATTAAAAAGATGTCAAGCTTGTAGCTATAGGAAATTTACAATCCTGTTTCGGGGTTGGTAGAGAGTTAAGATTAGAATTTGTTTTCCTTGTTGGCCCTTTCGTAATATATGAATATTTACTAAAATGGGAAGGTACCTAGGTATTTCTCATGGGCATAGGTTTTCTTACAAATAAATAAATTTATCACTATATTTGCACTACAATGGGCATTAGGGATTTCAACATGTTATGCTAGTAATGGGAAAAGCATAGAGATGCAACTATGATACCTACACTAAAAAGCTTTCCAACGAGGTATCTTTTCTCTTCAGTGGGTTTATCGAAATCCTCTATAACAAGCCTGGTACCGTAAATGAGGCCGATGGCATTAAGAGAATACGTTAGCACCCAGTTGAAGCCATTGCCTAAACCTGTGTAGAGACCGCGTTTTCTTCCGTATCGTTCCGCTGGCTCGAGCAAAGTCTTGTACCTACAATTACATTCGAGTTGAAATGTTTGTATCAATATATAATCTTGCAATAAACCTGTCGACGTCTAAATATAATCTACGAGTTAAGTATACTTATGGCAAAAGTGTCGTTTCAAGATAGGGGCTATTAAATTCAAACCTAAAAAATACATTAGCATATTTAAAAATATAGGTACCTACAGTAATTTGTGTACTACTTTGCACGTAGACATTATAACTGTGATAAGACTTATATAATGAGATAAAGAATATCAATGCCTCTTACAGATGATTAAATTAGAGTCACTATGTGTCTTTAAATAGAGTTTGTTTTAACGGCTTAGGAAAACATAACTACACTTTATTTGAATAAGTTTGGTTCTATTTGTCTTAAATGAAAGGAAAACAATGAAATTTACAAATGATACATTGTAACAGCTTTTGTAACGTCAAATGAGTGTAATAATTTCAAAGAGAAATTGTCGGTCGTAATCATTAAACCGTGTAGATTTAATCAAGGATTACATCTACTTAGGTAATTGTAGATTTTAATCGTGAAAACCTACAATTTGGACCTAAAATTTCACAATATTTTGTAATTCATTCAGTATGGATAATGTAACTTAAAATTCGGCTTTAATTCAAAAGATGTAATAATCACCAGACTAAACTATCAATATGGAGGAATTGCGTTTTGTCGTACTTTTGTTTAATATTATAAGTCAATAATATAAGCAGCCAATTTTTAAAATTGCAATAACAGTCACTGAAGCAGATTTGCTAATCTTTGGCCAGCTTATTATTAACATACGTTATGTTGACGGTACTGCATTTATCTCCGATTGCATGAAGACAATGCAGAACTTGCTCAACTGTCTCGAAAATCAAAAGAAGTTGTAATGGTTGCAAATTAAAAAAAAAACCTAGGTTTCTGGCTTGATCAACAAGTTGTTAATGCACAGCGTACCAGAGTTCGCGTTTAAATAGCATGAACGACATTCTTAAACATAAAGGAAGAGCTGTGTGCTGCTTTTATTTTCAGCGATGTTATACTTTGTTTAATCAAGAACTTTCGAGCGGAACAATATCAATGATTTCTTGGGGAAACAGTCCTGCAAAAAATGCGTAAGTAACTAAAAAATCGGCAGGTCAACTTCGACAGCAGTGGGGTGTGGACATGTTTAGAGCAGCAACCTCGAAAATAAAAATTACAATAGGAAAAAATATGAAAGGAAATTATGATAGGAACAAGGAGAGAACTACCTAACCTAACTATAAATATTTAGATTACAAATTTTTATTAATTAATCGAGGTTGTATTAAAATGTACTTGAAATTGACGTTCTGCGATCGGCGTATCACTGCACCCAATCTTCGTACTTAATTTATGTGGTCTATGCTTCTGACTACTCTGATATTGAAACTATTTCAATATCAGAATTGTAATACCGGAAACACTATAACAATTGCTTTAATTCGTCCATCATTTAAAAGGTTAAGTTCTGGCAAATAGTTTCGACCTTGATTCACTTCTACATATTTAGTGCTTACGTTGATTACATTTACGACACGACATCGAAAAGAATGCCTTCTTCACTTTGTTACTTAACGCAATCTCGTATTTTGTTAATCGGCAATATATTGCAAATGAATATATGGCATTAATGTTTGCAAGTGGAATACATACAAACTCTACACGCCCTTTTCACACAGGAATAATTAATTATATTTACAAGGCAACAAGAACGGCTATTCCACTTTGGATTTTAAAGGTGATACTAGCGCTAGCTTTTCAGTCTAATAGTCATTTTTAAATGTTTGTGTTGTGTTGACAAATACACACACCGGCACATTTAGCGGAACAAACGCAAGTAATAACATAAAATAGTAACGTTTATTAAATAAGATAGCAATTATATAATACTAACCTCTTTTGTCATCGACTAAATACAGCCTTTCTCAACCTTCACAAAAAAAATAGAAATTAAACAAAATGCTATTTTTTATTAGATTTTCTGACAAAGCAGAAATAACTGAAAATTGTATTGTAACAGTCTGACATTGATCGAATCGAATTTTAATAAATAAAACACATTGTTCAACTGCACTTTACGAAATTTACGAGAGCGCAAATCTTTCTTCAACGAAAATCAATCTTAAGCAGCGGCATAACCCGTAGTAGGAAATTAAAAATTAAAAGTAGTGAAAAAACTAACGGTCAAGATCAGTGTTTATATTCAAATTAGATCTAAAATAAATAAAGTAAAAGAACAGGCCTGACATTTAAAAAAATACTGCATTATTTTGAGGATTTTACTAGTGTTCCACTAAATGTGCCAGTGTGTGTAATATATGTAATATACGATAGGTTAGACGTAGGTATCCGCATCCGTAGGTACCAGAGGTACTGGTAATACTTTACTTTTCGACTTCTTTGCTTTCTCCGGCAAATGCTACGACTGTCTTTACAGATTTCAGCACCTCTTCGGCTTGCTTGCCCGCCATGCTGTACGATTCCATTTCTCGAATTGATGATCGTGTTTGGTACTGTCGAAAGTTATATTTGCATTAGTAATTATGATAAAGTTTTATAAGACTATAAGTAAAATTGTTGATTCAAGCCATCAAAATAAGTATTTTTCAGTGTTTCTTAAATATAGCACAATAATACATTACATACTTTTTACATAAACTAAATGTAACTAAAAAGTATAAAGTTAAAAACTACATAAAATATACAAAAAGGACCCGAAACATTGGCTTGTTTGAAAAAACAAACATACGTGATTCAAATCCAAAAAAAAATTATTTACTAAGAAACTTACATTAGTTAAAATAATGGAGGCTCCAATTGAAAACGGCACGACGGTGCAGCAAGCCAGTGTGAGTTCCCAGCCTAGCGGGAAAGCTTGCGCCAGGCAGATTATTGCGGTTCCCATCAGATTTGCTACTACCGACAATTTGTCACCCATGCCGTCTTTCAACTTCATCATGTTCCTGAAGAACGCAAAAATAATTGGTATTGGTGCATCTCCTCAAACTGAACGTGCAAATAATAGGTAATTGAAGTAATTACAACTTTTAACGAAACGGCCCATAGAATATGTTTGTAGATTTTGAAAATCATGCGTTTAAAAACAATAAACAGTATCTACACATTTACCATATTATTTTAATTGATTGAGCTCTTAGTTTGACTCACAATATACAAAAAAATCACATATTTTGTAATTTGACGGTTATAAACGAACATGAAGATAGCTCGAGTAAACAATAGATTACTATACGCTGTACAATAGAATGCTAATTAACTACAATAGGTATCACCAATTATAATCAAAGATAGCAAGTGCGCTTCATCAGCACTGCTACAATTGTGTAACAACAGTATGAACAGAATGAATTGATTTATTTAGGTTTGAATAAAGTCTTGATGAAGACCAGATATAAATGCTTTCTGGAATAATATTACGTAAGTTTGTATTCCTTTACGGTGATTTGAGACAGATCATTAAAACTAAATTGTTTTACTCATAGACTAAGGATGCATTTAGTGCGTGAAAAATACTTACTCAGACATTTTAGAAGCTAAGTTGAATTCTGTATCAGTGTCGAACCAAGCCATATCTTGCCGAAGAACAGCTTTCAAAAATAACATTCTTATTCTTGTGATCTGATGATATTTGAAAAAGGTAAATGTTAAATTTGCATCGTTAATTACTTTGTAGGGACACAGTGCTGACGTTACGTTTTCAGCCCTCCGCGTGTG